AGAAGTAACTTTCTGTTAAGGTAAATAAATCAGAACCAACCCTTGATGGCAAAACGAGCTCTTGAAGGCAAAATGGGCCCTTGATGTAAAAACGAGTCCTTGGTGGCAAAACGAGCCCTCGGTGGTAAAACGAGTCCTCGATGGCAAAACGAGCCCTCGATGGCGAAATCAAATGTTGATGATATATCAGTAATTTCCCTTCTCTTTACAGGTGCTCATACGCATAGGGTTGTTGGGGACAACAACGGGTCAGGATGGCCGTGCAGTACCCGCTTATGAAAATACTGACAGAGCAGCGTGACTTATATATTATCTAAGCGTTAGTCACTGGGATGACTGGGACACAGGGCCGTAGCGAAAAGAAATTCCGGGGGGAGGGAATCCAAATTTTTCCAACCCCACCAGCAAAATTTCCCAACTTTCGAAAAAATGAAAGCCGAGGGATTAGTTACTACTATAATATATTAATTTTCTTACTTAGCTATCCAAAGATTGGCTGAATGCTTATGCCCGTTAGGGTATGCACAAATGAAAATAAATTTTGATAATTATAAAAATAATAATGGGAATTATTCTACTTTGGACCAAGGTCCTTGGTCTTCCACCATATCCACCATGTATAGGAATATTCAATACAAATGAAAGGAAACAACACTTAAATAATATTGTGCTTAATGTTTTCTACTATTATTTTTTCTATCTTCACGTCCCGAAATTTCCCAACTTTTCCAAGTCGAAAAAACAGCGAAAAGTTGGGAATTTTGTAAAATTGTCACTTCAAAAATTGGTGGACTGTTCAGGAAAGTTCTCTTACTTGGCAGAAATGAAACTTTTTTGAAGTTTCAATTCTGCATTTCTGAATTTCAAAGCATGGAATCTCCAAGTTTTGCATGTTGGGAAATCCCAACCTTCTCGTGGTTTTTTCCTTTTTCTTATTACCTCTCCCTTTCTTTTCTCTCATTTTCATTTTTTAAATTTGTATTCATTTTTTTACTATTATTTTTTTCTATCTTCATGGCCCAAAATATGCCAACTTTTTCCCAAGTCGAAAAAGCAGGTGGGGAGGCTCCCCCCCCATGGCGACGACCCTGCTGGGACAGTGCCGATTACATTGTGTTATAGAATAGGAAATGTATTATTGAATTATTATCGTTTGTGACTTGAAGTAGAAGAGACGTTAAGATATACTTATATTGTGAATACGCATATCATTCCGTAACCTCGTCCAACCTACTACATAACTAAATGTAGTTTTCGCAAAGGTGAACATCATTCATATTCATATCCTACTTTCAAAAGCAAACTACCCTCAGACAGATATATGTTCAGATAGATATACATTCTGCAAATCATTACATTTCTGTTTCAATTGTTTGAGTTCGTTCCATGATCTACGAAATTGTCGATCAAAAAATACTTGCAGAAAATATTTCTCCAATTAACACTATACGCCCTTGCACTTAAATAATTATCACTCTTCCTCAACCTCAAGTTGCCTTCAAATGATTCAAGATTTTTTGCTCATGTAGCAATCGACCAGATATTTCCATTCAGCCTCAGCCGAATACGCTTTCTTGTTTCATTTCCTGCAACGGTCAATATCACACTACTGAATAATAATAACGGTAGTGTCTGTATGACTAGTACTGACCTTAATAATAATTCTAACGTTTTACTATCAACCGGATGGATAGATATTCTTGACAATCGAGGTATATTTCAAATTTTTTCGAAATTTCCTTGATTCTGGCAGTATGACACATTTACTGGAAGAGCCTTGAACAAATTTGGTTCAAAACATTCAATGAGTAATATTCAAATTGTAACAATTTTGATATTATCTCGTTTATAAAATATTTTTCCAATATTATTTCAAGATTTCCGGCTGTCAAGCAATCCCGGTTCTGATTAAATTTGTATCCATATTCCGATTCCAAATTCCCGTTTGATTATCATCTCAATTTCATATCCTGATTCCCGATCTTTCTTACGTCAAAATTCCAATTTTACACCCGTACCTCTCACATGCGGGTTCAATTCCATCTTAATCTTATACAACCCTAAAACGATATTTATACCCTCCATTCTCATTCTAGTTACTTCCTCTGTCTTCACTTCGGCCAGTTCCAATGATCTTGAAATGGTAAAAACTTTGAAAAGTGAACTCCATAAGAAAAAGCTTGAGATTTTGAGGCAGAACCGATGCTGATTATCTATGAATTTATTTATAGAGCGCTTTCGTCGTTAAGCATGCAACGTTGATGTTGTAACAGTGATATGATGGAGAAATATTTGTGATGTGATACCTGCTACTGTGAGTTTTCTGAGAAAAAGCTGGAACTGGTTTATTCCGACTTGAAGACCTTGCTGGTGTCTGCAGATCGGCTCCTCTATTCTCATTTCTCTCGGATAGAATCCACAATGGCAGAAAATACTTTTCAGCTCAATATCAATAAGGCATCTGGTCATGATGAAGTACTCGTGCGCAAATTAACTCGCAACAGTATATTTCAGACTTTTTAACCTATCTCACAAGAAAGGGGTTTTTCCTTCTTGTTGGAAGATTGCTCGCGTTCAGCCTATTTCCGAAAAGAGCAGGAAAACTCTTCCAAATAACTATAGACCAGTCGCTTTGCTATCAGTGATTCAAAACTCATGGAGAACGCCGTAACCCACCATATCCTCAAATATTTGGGAGTTTTTCCCAACACCAAACCTCGACACGTGTTTCGATTACCAAGTGATCAAAAACTGTTAGTGTTTGATCTTCCTCTTGAAGATGTTGAAATAACGTTTGGTGTTGGGGTAAAAACTCCAGTGATATTCATTGCTATACCATAGGTTTCAAACAGTGCATCACGAATCAATATGGCTTTCAGAAACAAAGATTAACAGGCGACCTTCTATCATATGTCACCCAAATGAATAACGCAATCGAGAAAAATGGAGAGTCAAGAGCTGTTACACTTGATATTTCTGAGGCCTTTGACTGTGAAATATAGAGCTGTGAAAACACCTTCAGGAAGAAAAACTGTGCCTGTTGATGAAACCTACAAACTTGCAATCAAAAAAACCGTACATTTTAAGAAAGAAATACCGACTCACGACAAAATAATGGAAGCCTTGAAAGAAGACCAAAGTATCTCTCCAATGATAGACAAAAAGGAATTGTGGAACATTTTACATTTCAACTGGGAAAAACAAAACGGAAAATCGCTTTTAATCCCTTGCTCTTGCTGGAGGAGACGGGCAGATGAGAGACTTTCGACGTGAAAATACGTAGGATATAGGTACCGTTGAAAAAATGTGGCAAGACAAAAACGTCAAAAGTTCACGTCGAGCATTTTTAGACGGCTGGTCTACCGGATTGAAGTCGCCTTCTGGAAAAGGAAAGCAATACTGCAAGTAATAATGGTTTTGTTGAGAGCGGTTTATTCTGGCGATTACCATGAAGACGTGAAAGTGGATGTCATTGACTGGCTTTGACAAGAAAACATACCAGTTGATGAAAGTATGATTGAAAAAGAACTCTTGCCCACAGTATTTTCAATTGAAGCTCGTTTCACCATACATAATCGATAATATGGTATTATTATTCTGCGTCTGCCCCCTTATTATTGCCAACTTCAAGTAAAAGGTTTCGTTGCATGAAGAAACGCGACATTTGAAATAAAAGATGTCAAAATACTCTTCGAAGAGTCCTTAAAAATTTCGATTTCGAAAAATGGCGAAAATGTATTGAAGTGTTATAATAATGTGGAAATTAGAAATGTTATAACAATATCATTTGTATATAAATGAACCTATTTATTAGTTTTAACAAGTATGATGAATCACCCAAACGCACGCCACTGTAGGCAGAGAAGGACTCGAACGTTCATAAAATATTTCGTTATTCTGAGAACGAGAATGGATCGTCGGTTTGTTTCCTAATGAGGTGGATGCTGATCAAAAACATTTTTTTTACCTTTCCATCTTCGAGGAATGAAGAATCTTTAGACGATCTGAGATATTACGATTTTACCACCACTGAAGTCGATACGACACTGTTTCGTCTAATGCTGGAACATATTTCAACTATGTTCTGTTTCAATCAGTGGTTGTTAAGAACTAGAGTGTAAAAAGATAATTACGTGAATGGATAACTCAATTTCACTAACAAGATTTTTAGATTAAAAAATGCTTTGTCCATGTTAAATTTGTCGAAGCCATCTCACATCCAGATGAAAATAAATCTGTATGAAAAAAATCTGTTTTTTAAACAGATTCATTTTCATCTGGATGTGAGATAAGGTAATGGGCTGAGAGGACTAAGAACAAATCGAAAATGGAACTTTGGAGATGGTTGATTTACCACATGGAAGAAAACCGTTGAAGTGCAACTTGGTACTAAAAACTGAACAAAAAGTGACCCACAAGCCTTGGATTATTGTCATGGGTTGCTCGCAGATAAAAGGTGTGGATTATAACAAAATTTATTCACCAGTTATTTGCTAAAGTTCCATTCAATTTCTTTTGACGTTTGCTGCTAAGTACAACCTCGAGATCGACCAGATGGATGCAGTTCCTGCGTTTTTGCATGGGATGAAGAGATTTACGAGTATGTTTCCCCCCAAAAAAGCAACTACGGATTGACGCAAGCCAGCAAAGTCTGAAATACCAAATTGGATAAGTATTTAAGGGACGCCAGTTCGATTCTTGCATCTATTTTCAAACTGATACGGGCAAGATTCTCATTGTTGCAGTTTCTCAAATGACAAACATATGAAGAGAAAATTTATAGAAACATCAACATTGGTCTTCAAGATGGTAGACATGAGTGAGGTCAAACGTATTTTGTCAATAGTTGTCAATATTATCATCATTGTATTTGCTAAATATGTTTCTATAGAATAGAATTATATAATTTCAGTACATATATATGGTATAGCTTAGATTTTCATTGTACTTGAATTGCTTAAAACAATTTACTAAAAAGAATGGGAAAATGAAAAACGTTGTGTTTAACTTCCACTTCTATTTTCGTTTACATTTCTGACATGGTCATTATTTTGATGGTTATCATAGTCATTTACATCATTCGCATCATCTAAAGATGTAAAAAGTAACATTTCATTTTCAGATTCAGCTGTTTTGTCAGATTCGGTTTCAATGTTTGTCATAAATAAAACTTCGTCAGATCTCTTAACATGTAATGGGGGACATTCTTCTTCCTTCATTTTGATGTTTCTTTCCTCGATATGGTTCTCGGGTTTTTTTAAATTTGATTGTACAATATTTCCAGAATCTTCATTTTTCTCATCAGATTCTTCAGCTAATGGAAAATGGCCAGACAAACGTCTTTCACTTAATTTTCTTTTCATGGCAACCATACCTAAAAGGTACGACGATTTGAGTGAGAATGTGTGAAAAGGAAATGATAAATCATTCTGAAATTTCTTTTTTTTGCCTTTCTTCAAATATGTTATCACAAAAAAATTCAAACGTTTGTAGGTTTATGAAAAATGTTTCTCCCAATCCTCAAGTTGGAGACAATCTATATCCCTTCAGATAAATGTTTCTCATAAGGTATTTGATATGATATTGGAGTTTCAGTCATTATAATAGAATGAAACAATATCTGTTCATTGGAAAAATGATTTAATATTTTTTACTGAAAATTTGGACAGGTTATATCACAACAGAGATATCCGATTTCGCTATGACTTGGGAAAAATAGAGAAAAGTTAATGATTTCATCCTTATTTCCAATATTCATATAGAAAAGAGCAACCTGAGTAATACAAGGTGTCATTTTTTGGATGATGCATTCGGTTTTCAGCTACAGGGAAATACCTTGGACTGAAATTATAACTCCATCATGTCAAGGAAGTTCATCGTAGATTAAGTTATCCTGTTTTATGAAGAAGAATATAAGGAGAGTCAGTTGAATCTGTCTCCGGCAATTGCCATAGTGTTCACCAAGGCAGGTATACTGGGGATATAAAAAATCAATTGGCATTAGTATCAATATTTTTGAAAACAAAATCTCTTATAATATACAGTGAGATCCGGGCATGCACACCAATTTTATAAGTTGGAATTGTAGATATAAGACTCTTGTTTTAATGTACATGTGGTATTTCTAGTAATCTAAACAGTGCAACATTTTCTATAAATATGCTCAAATTTTTTGTTACTTTACTAAAAATTTATGTTCATTGCTAGGTCACGAGAAGTCAGGTATCTCCATTCAACTTCAACTAAGTGGATATATTAGTTTTTTCATCAACAGTAAAAATTTGAGTTTTAGAACAGTTGATCAGAGGAACATGTGAATATACTTACATTTCAAAGTTTGCAAAAACACATTTTTTGGCTTTCTCATGGCAATATTTCTGAAAAAAAAAATGAAGGAAAAAATATCATTCTGTCAGAAATATATTGAAGAAATGAGAACGAATAACATTTTCATTTGAATGTTTGGTAAATGCCTTTTAAAAAACTACTTTAGGAACATTAATAATTGGTACACAATCGTCACTCATAAATCGCTTCTCAAATCAAAAGAAGTATTTTCCATCATTTCTGTGCAGACTATTGTGTAGTTTCAACAGATGTCCAATATCCCTCCTGATATTAGTTAGAATAGTAGTTGATTTTGTGTAGGATATTTCTAATTAATTCGTAAGTAACATAGTAATATATTTTCTATTAATAATAAACTACATTTATTTTCACTTGTTTGAAATTCCATTTTTCTATGAGTTATGAAAATGAAAATCCTTAAGTTGAAAAGGTTGACAAACTAATTTTTTTTGAATAGTTCAAACGAAAAATACACTAGGTGAGTGAGATAATATTTGCCGCGAATGTTTTCTTATTATTGAGATCCTAGTCTACACAAACAACATTTCTGAAAACTCAAAGAATAACTAATACAACTCATCTAGTGAGCTCGTTTCTCTCGTTGTCAATGATAATAAACGTGAAATACCTATATCAGAAAATGATTAGAAGTGAGGGCCACTAAATAATTTGAATCGGTTGATAATTTTGTTATAGGACTTGTGTTTATCATGTTTTCTACTTCCGTAATAAAGTGAGCAATAGTTCATCCTCCAGTTCTTGTTCCTTGAGAATAATATAAAAGGATTTCTTGACTGAATAAGACGTTCTCATACTCCGCCCATGTGTAGGCTGGCAGGAGGAAAGAATTTCCATTCAATACCTCGGAAATATTTCACGGTCTATTTTTTTTTATCCATTTCAGTTATAGCATTTTTAGGTCTTCACAAGCCCTCGTAAGTTAGTACCGTTATCTGTGAACAGTTGACGTATTTGACCTCTCCTGGAAATAGTTCTTCTGATGACCATGATAGCTGAGTCTGTAGTAAGATGATGCTTAACATCCAGATGAATAGCTCTGATTGACAAACACGTAACAACCTCATCTCTCCTTTCTTCGTCCTAGATTCACTGTGAATGGTCCTAAGTAATCAATCCCAGTGAAAGTGAAGGGTCTCACATTTGAAGTTAATCTGAATGCAGGAAGTTGTCCCACAAGAGAAATCATAGGATTTGAGTTGGTCAGTTTGCATGTCTGACAACTATCTAAAATTGATTTAACCACAGATTTTTCATCCATGATCCAGTATTTTTATCTTGATTCAGATTTGTAAGTAATTCAGAAATAATTTGGTATATTCATGTTTTTGGATGATTTGACCATTGTTGGAGTTAAGTCTGTTCGTCCACTGAGAACTATAATATTTATATCATCCAATATTGGTGGAAGTTTGCTCAGATGACTTTGCTAATTCAGAACTTTTTTGTTTCTGTCTTCAATTTTTCTGGGAAGCTTTCTTGTTGAACTCCAGAGAATTTCAGCTTATTCAATTTCATCAATGGTTAATCTGTTCAAGCAGTCTTCATAAAGAGTTCTAGAAATTCATATTTTCGAAATTTTAATAATCAGAAAATGTCTCTATGTGGGTGAAGTTGTCTGTTTGATTTCTGTTGTTATATGGGTAACCTCATTATCCATTCAATTTGTATTTTTAATGTTGAAATCTTTCATTTTAATAATGTCTCTATCAGGCTAATCTGACTCTTTTTCTCTCAAAAAGGTAGGTCCACTAAACCATTGTCCAAAATTGGTAACGTTATTTCCGTCTTCACTATATGTTTTAATTGCTTTGTCCGCAACATTTAATTTCTATGATACCCAGCGCCATTCCGATACATCTGTTAGTTCTTGGAATTATCCTACCCGGTGAGCTTCAAACTGTCATAAATCTTTACCTTCACCCTATATCCAATACAAAACGGTCGAGTCCGACCAATAATAAAATCTTTTCATTTCTATGTTAAGTTCTTCTTTCACGGTTTTAGTTAATCTGATGCCCATTAATGCAGCTTGTATTCCGATAAAGACTGTATTTACCGTATGTCGGCAATCCCCATCTTCTGCTAAATCGAGTTGGATTTCAAATACCAGACTCTTTCGTGCTCTCTGCCTGTGGCTTAGTTAGAACTCTGAGAGGTGCGTTGCACGGTCGAGACTAAATTCTCGCCGCCTTGTTCTTTGTTGAACTCTGTTCAACTCGTAGCTTCCCGAGGTTACTAGCCAGTGACCTCACCTCGCGGAGATGCGAGGCCTTTTGAAGCGGGAAGGGTCGTCGATATCATAATCTACCGCGGCCCTGACTAGGGGGTTTTCGTGAGTTTCGGCCATTTCGAAGACTCCTCTATTTCGAGTCTGTATACTCTCCCGAATGGTTGGGAGATTCAGATCCCGTCTGATGTTTGCGTTCCGTACATACCACGGAGCGTTTGTTGCCATCCTTAGTATTTTGTTCTGGACCTGTTCCAGTATTTCGACGTGAGTTTTCGCTGTGTGTCCCCAGACTCCTGAGGCATACATAATCATTGGTTTAAACACAGTCTTATAAAGTAAGACTTAGCTTGCTCTTGCGGTTGAGTAGGGGATATAGCTGTGCCATCCCCGCGCTCACTTTAGTCTTCACCGATTGTATATGCTTCTCCCAGGTAAGCTTGCGGTCTATCGTTAGACCTAGATACTCAACCTGTGGGCTCCAGGCGATTTCTTGTCCTGCCATGGTAACTCTGAGATTTGGGTGGGCGCTTTGCCTGCCTAATGCTATCGCTTGCGTTTTTGCGGGGTTCACACGGATTTTCCAGTCCAGGAACCAGGTCTCGAGAGCTGCAACTGCAGTTTGCATGTAGGCTACCCCGAATTATCTCGCCATGGACGAGGACATCAGGGCGGTGTCATCTTTTGAGCGTCGTTTTTTGGTTGTCTGGCAGCTGCTTCAATAACCTGTTGGTTATTGCGTCAGCTCCTGGGGCGTTTTTGGGCTTGGTGGCGCGAATAAGTCCGTTCAGTTCTTCTTCTGATACTGATCTGATGACGTCTTCCTCATTGAGACACAGTGTTTCTTCCACTGCTTCCTCGATTCGTATATCTCTACGATATCATCGTTTGGGTCTATGTTCAGCCTATGTATGGCCCGTATGTGGCCTTATGTGGGCCGGTTGTTGGATATTTAAAGAAGAGACAATTCAGACAATAATGATGGACGACACCAACCTTATTTGTTTTCGGATAATCTCCTTGCCCTCTGGTTTCACTTACTAATAGTTGATCAGTAACGATCTTGAAGGATGCTGTTTTGGTGATATATATTTATAATTTTTAATTCACAAAACATTTAGCAAAACACATATTTAACGAAACGCTCGTCTTCCCTGTGTCCTTTTCCATTCACGACTGTCCGTCCGGCAGCCGCACGTGCGTATAAAGGCCGGGACACACTTCTTCATACACCTCTCCGATCCGACTCCGGACTCCAAAAGCGGATCGGTGCAGGATCGCCGGTGGGTAATCACACTTGTCATACATGCTTCCGACTTCTTTCCGATTTACCACTCCGGCTTGATACACTTGCCACTCTCGCCAGAGTCGATTCAAACAATATCTAGGAAGGTCCTCTAAGCAAAATGTTCAAGACTTTTAACAACTGCGATTTAGCCACTGAGGCACTCTGGAAGAAGAAGATGAGGAAAATCCGAGAGCTCTCATAGAGAACAGCGGTACAGCTCTTCAGTCTGGTCATATAGAACTGGATATTTTCTGACTTGTTCAATAAGCTCCTCCGGTTTTAATGACATTTTTAAAATTTAATTTGAAGAAAACAAACTCAAATATCATACAAACTCCAAGCGATACCCGTCCCGCAGCTGGAGAACAAATAGGCTGCACTATCGGATCATGATCGAATGCAGGATCGGAGTCGGGTGGGAGCAGGGTTGGCCACGTATCGGAACGATGTGAACTACTCTATTCGGACTAAAGTACCATTTCCCTCTCAGACACTCGTCCGACTGTATGATGGGAGTTGGATCTGAAGGGTGTGTGACAGGTGTGTCTCGGCCTTAAGGTGTCGCCAATGATGAAATGTTAACAATAATAATAATAATCATACCTGAACCCACATACAAGAACAGGTCAATACCGAACACTGGGGATGAGGCGAATTGGTATACTTCGTCCAAATACGGCCCCATAATTTCTGGACTGCGTGATTCCCGAAAGATTGGGAAAAACTCATTTGTCATCCCAAAGTTGGCAATTGGATCGTTTGGACCATCAAACTAAACTCGTGTGTCTGAATACTCATCAAATTCATCGTTCAGGCACGTCGAGTCAATAATTTCGACTTGAGTGGCAATGGAAATCATTAAAGACTCATTTTATAAGTTATTTTCTTAAATAATGCTGTGAGATGGACTTAAAGATTTTTTTAATAATACACATTGATTATTACTTCCATCATTACTTTTCAGACAAGAAAATAATATTTGTTTGATGAACTATTATTAGAGATATTTGTTTGAATGATGCTATGAGAAGTGTCAAAGGTTTTTTATGAATAATACATTATATTAACTTTTTTTCAAATATAAAAATGAATTTTGTTAGATTAACTTTAGGTTATTGTTGTAAGATGGGTCCAGGATTTTTTTAAATCAGTCATTGATAATTACTTCCATTCATTTTTCAAGATATGAGAAATTCGACAGAAATTCATGTATTCAAAAAATATTTGAAATTATATTCCAAATGAATATTTAAAATGAGTACTTTTTTATGATTCTGTGTGCAGCAAACAAAGTAGATATGCACTCCGATCTTTTCATTTCATTCTTTTTTTCTATTCATTATTAACGTTTATGTACAGAAAACAAAATTTGCATGCAGAATATTATTTTATGCACATATAACTTAAATATAACCTTCATATAGTTCAAAATTAACATAAACTCTATAAACTATTAACAAAGGGGGTGGCTCGTGTTTTTCGATGTAAGCCAATCTCTCTCGTACCGTATAATACTATTGAATATTTACTCAGCTAATTCCCGCTGTTGAGCATGCAGATTGGCAAGTTTTGCTATCTGCTACGTTTTGGCCAATTCTTTTTTTCACAGACTACACAAAGGACAAGCTTTGCACTAGTTTATTTTCTTCAGTTGCAGTCTGTGACAGAGGAACTTTCACATCCGCCTCTTGTGCGGTGCATGGATGGAATCATGTTAACCTGGGGAAGGGCTGGTGGGTTCATGTCATACCCTGGGGTGGTATTGATGGTGGTGGGGTAGTGAGTCCGACTTCACACAATGGACATCTACTGCAACCACTTACACCGGGTGGACTGGTGGTGTAGTGGAAGGTCCCGCAATCTACCAGGGCTGCTTTCGACCAAACTTGAATTGGAGAGCATGGTATGAAAAGCACTCAGTTTATTTGAAATTCAGTTTATTACCCTTCCTCCTGGACAACTGCTTCGACTTCCTGGACTTTTTCACCTTCGTTTTCTTCTTCTTTACCTTATCCTCTTCGCTGTCCCTTTTTAGATTTTTTGAATTCTCAAATTCAATCTCCAAGTTAACCTGGGATAGTATTGGATAAAAGGGTGATTCCTCCACATCCGATAATCCCAGCAAGTATTGATGAGACAGCAAAAGGTACGGCAGCGGTTCCTCCAAGTTTGGATAGGCCTCCAATAGACCTTCCAAAGTTGGAGAAGTCGCTACCGCCTCTAAAGAGATGTCCAGCAGTGCTTGTTTGCATTGCATTACCCCAAGTAATGCAGTGCATTACCCCAAGGTGGTATTAGGAATTATAAATCTCTTATCATCATCATTTTGTCATAGAGAGATTTTATCGCACATCAGTATATATTGTAAATCACAAATCACCTCTGAATATATTCATCTTTCACAATATTGTACCACTTGTTTCAACAATCCTTATGTTATTATGAAATGATTTCTTATAACAGATTTTTCGATATCTATTGCGTTCTTTATGTCATCTGATACAATTTGAACGTGATAAGCTTTGGCACCAGTGCCGTGGAAAGTAATAATGGGATCATTCCGGAGTTTATCCAACATATAATTGAAAGTGTCAAATGTATTATTATTATCAATCATGAAAACATAGAAATTATCAGTCATTATTTTCAAGATCAAAGAAATTTCCACTAGACAGTTTAAAAAGCCGCAACACGTGTTTCACTATACAATGGCTTTCAGTATGAAAATGCTTGAGAAAGTTATTGTAAGTGTACACATGTTGTGGTTTTGTGAAATGTCTAGTGAAAATCTCACAATAAAGTGTTACTTGAACTATACACAGTAATAAAAAACCGTTATTTTACCATTTATCATAAAATCTATGCATACCTGTTTTTCCTGTCATTTATTTCTTTCCTTAAAATTTTGATATTGTAAGCAAAATCATTTCTCACTTGAAATAAAGCACATTCAGTCAGGGCACACTGAACATTCTGGTGATTATCAAACCTTTCGGTTTCACTATCACTATCAGATTTTTCCTTTTGTTGCATATGATATAGCCAGTGATCCACAACTTTGGAAAGAACCTAAAAAATTAATTTTTTCAATATATGACAAAAATTGTTTTCAGGTCCTTAATAATGGACTTCACTTAATCAATTTGAGAGTTGGACAGTTCTATTTCTGTTTTAGATAGGTTAAATTTTTTTTTTTTATTAACTCGACTTTTGTCCCCATAAAAACGGACTTATGTGAACTGAGAATAAACGAGATACAGAGATCACGTAAATGCATGACATTCCTAGAAAAATCCTCAAATAAATCAATTTTTGATTTGAATTTACTGTAGAACTTGAAGTTCTATTAACAGTTACAAGAAATTTCCATAAACCAAAGCGCGAAATCGCAGTTGAGTACTCCTTCGAACATACGACCGATTCATAATATTTGAGTATTTGTAACTTCATAATAGTAAAAGTCATTTTTTACTCACAGTGGGGTCACAATCAAACACATATATAACTTTCAAAAATTGGTTTCCATTTAAAATGTTTTTTTTTGTTAACTCGACTTTTGTCCCCATAAAAACGGACTTATGTGAACATGCAACAAATAAATGCAAATGCATGCAAATAAATCAATTTTTGATTTGAATTTACTGTAGAACTTGAAGTTCTATTACCAGTTACAAGAAATCTCCATAAACCAAAGCGTGAAATCGCAGTTGAGTACCTACTCGTTCGAACATACGACCGATTCATAATATTTGAGTATTTGTAACTTCATAATAGTAAAAGTAATTTTGTACTCACAGTGGGGTCACAATCAAACACACATATAACTTTCAAAAATTGATTTCCATCGGAAAAACATACAAACATTTTCAATAAATAACAAATGTTGCATCAATTCTCATGTTTCCATTGGATTTGATACAACACGTTCAGAAATACTTTTTGAGAAAAATTATCATTTCTTTGAAGTAGTTAAATGAAGAATACATCTTTTTATTTTGAAAAACCCTAAGGGACATTAAGAAACAAAGAAGTACTTCGAAAGACGATAATTTTTTTGCATATCTAATGAAAATATTTCCATACTACTTTGAATCGATTTTCATGAATTATTTATGCTTTTTTACAAAAAAAACATTATAAATGGAAAAGAGAGGTTCGATAAAAATTCATTCAATTCACTTATTTCCTGAATTACTAAAACAACCCAAAAATAAAAAGAAAAAAGTTTTAACTCACCGACTGATAAATTTCTACCATTAACCAGGCAACTAAGTTGAAGAACAGGAAAATTAGCAAGGCATTAGGATAATCTGACATGATCTTCAATCCCAAAGGTGCCACAAATGTTAATGGTATAATGATGACGTGAACAGTTGTACTGAAAATGCGTCATATGTTAACTCATGTAGTAATAATCTCAAACGGATATGAATTTTCGAAACACAAATACCATTTAAGTCTGCGATGCCTTGCCTTGGCTCAAAACAGCACCGATAGCAAAATTGGAAGCAACTGTTGTTACTATAAAAGGTTTTTCAAAGCCAAGATATTGCAAAAATAAGTCGCTGCACAGTATCTTTTTACAGAACTCGAAGGTGTTCTGGTGAATATTTTATTTTTCTCCTTTTTCAGACATTTAGCAAAAGATTTTGTTATTTATCAAAATTTTTTATAAACCTTTTATGGTCCAAGAAGACTAAGAATGACTCAATATCTTCAACAGACCTAGAATTGGGAATTTTTGGATTGATTCTTATTTTTATTACTTTAGGGGTTATGACGTGCTCAAAGAACTCAACTTATTTTTTAAGAAATTTGCGTTTATCGATTTCAATTTTCAATTGGGAATTGCGCAATTTCTTGAAGATGACTTACAAGTTGGATATGTGTTCTTCGAGACTTGCCGAGAATATGAAAATGAGTCAAAAGTCATCTAGGAATTTCAAAATTATCCTAATATGTAGGGTTTTTCATTTGAAAATACTAGTTTTGGCCCATTTTTATATCAAATGAATATCTCGAGAACGGTTCACTTTTGGTATAGACTGATAGTGTTACACATAAAATCACATCAGAATTATGCCAGGTATTCAAAAATGTGAAAATATACGAGGTCCGGCTATTAAATAACGAGACTGGTTACGAAAAAGGGTTTTATTATAAAAATTATTTTACATTGGAATGCCACACACCTTTTCATGCGTTTTTTCCATTGATCGAAGCAGTGCTGGAAATCTTCTTTGGTGAGGGCCTTTAGGAGCTCTGCCGTTTTTTGCTTTACCGTTTCCATCGATTCAAATCGGGTCCCTTTCAAAGCAAAATTTATCTTCGGAAACAAAAAAAAAGTACGGCGCCGAAACAAAAAAAAGTCGCCCGGTGACAAATTTGGCGAGTAAGGCGCGTGTTCGAGCACTGGAGTGCCTTTATCAGACAAATACCGCTTCACAGATAGCGCATTATGGGCAAAATCCACGAGTTTTCTTCCACACTTCGGGCCGTTCCTTAGGAACTCGTTCTAGCAGTGTTGTCAAAACTGACAAATAGAAAGTCTGGTTGACAGTCTGACCCTCTGGAACCCATTCAGTCATCATGATACCGTAAATGTCGAAAAAAAATGATCAACATTGATTTGGACATCCTTGCTCTCTCGGCCCTCACACTACTCAAAAACACGCGCACGAGATAGAGAATTGTCCCCATAGGCCTCTTGCAACAATGTATAGCACTCAGTCGAAGTTTTTTTTCAATTTAACGAGAAATTTGAGATTGATACGTTGCTTCTGTTTTTCGTCATACATGGTTTGCGGCACGAGAAAAGAACACGTTCGTTTGAAACCGCTACTGCACAAATACTATAATAGTGACAAAAACTTGTTTTGGTACGTGAATAGAGAAGATTTCTAGGTACCCACGCACTACTCGTTTTTTCCCCACCACTCTAGGGCGCCCTCTAGGAGCACAGTCTCGTTATTTAATAGCCAGACCTCGTACTGAGTATTACATTGGAATTGAGGAAATTGGTACCAACTTCTGTTATACCCGGAAGTGTTGAAAAAAAGCCATTATTTTCATTTGATAAAGTATATTTAAAAACCTATATTTATCAATTTTCAGGATATGAATTCAATTATTTCCCAAAATACGGCAAACCGACGGTCATCGCGCTGTACCTATAGATTTTTAGGGATGGTTTCAATGAACCCTGTTCTTGAATGAAATGTTTTGTATGGAGTTTTTGTATTATTGATCTCATTTATTGAAAAATACATTATGCACTTAAGAATAAGATTTTTTAATGAGACATTTACCAACATACTTACTAAACAACAAAAACTGCAATAAATATAGATGACAGAAACAATTTTGCCAATACAGTTGCTTGCGATGATAACATGAAAGCACATCTTGTAAATTCCAGACCAACTTGAGCAATACTTATTAAGGCTGTTAGTGAAAATGAGATTTCGACGATTCTAAAAATATTTATCAATGATATAAGGTCATACATATTCAATGAAACTCACCTCAGAATGAAAGAAGAGACCATAAAAAGAAACAAAAACAAATAACGGAATACATTCACCACCATTCCATTCCTTAGTCCTTCCCAGAATGCAGTATGTAAGTAATATGTTGATATCAAAATATATCCTAATATCACTTGTGTCGGTAGATTATTACTGGTAGGTACATGCATTTTCTTGAAATTGAACAACTCAATTTCATTTCGAAAGAGTTTTGTCCCACAGTAAATTGAAACCGTTCCATAGAATCCTAAATACCAAAGACTACTTCTCAATCTTATACGGACATACTCTCTGTATCTCAACTTTTTCAAAATAGTCTGAAAAATAATAAATACATTGAAACATACTTAATATAGAGAGAAGCCAAACGAAAACAAACATTTTAAAAATACGTTGGTATTCGTCATTTTCTTTTTATCAAATGGGAACTTTTTGGTGCTTGAAACTCCTACCAAGCTAAAATAAGAAACACTCCAAAATATTTTAATGGTTTTAGGGGTCGAGTAGGTAATTTAAATTCTTTTTAAGTCCTTATATTTCAAAATCGTGCCTACAAGTTTTGTAGAATATACATTTTGGGACTTCATTGAAGAAGAGATTGATCAATTAGAGATTTTGCTCGACAAGTTTGAAGAATATTTCGATTCCAAAAAGAACCTTACTTATACCAGACACAAATTTCTCACTGGTAAACAAAGTGAATTAGAGACTGTGGGCAATAAATGAAAAGTCTTGTAAACTTGGAGATCTGAAATATTCGCTGCATATTAATCTGTGGAATTCAGTGAGTTGAACTGAGGGGAAAACTATTTCAGGATGACCCTGGACTTTGGAAGAAGCTGTTAGACTGTGTACCTGCACAGAGAAATGTAGATGAAGTAATAAGGCGATATCCGGTGGTAAAGGGTACCAAGTAGAAGTTGTTCGTGCTCAACAACCTGTCAGAAGTGTGTAGGCCACCACGCTTATGGTAAATGTCCAGCCAATGGAAAGTCATGTAGGGTATGTGGAAGTCTCAACCATTTTGCTGTGGTCTGTAGAAGTGGGGCTAAAGGGACAATGCTAAAATATATGACGGTAACTATAAATAAAAAGTACTGTGAAAGGCAAAATACGTTCAGTAACACTAAAAGAAATGTTAGTATCTGTTTAAAATCTGTTTTTCCCTTATTTAGCTGTTGCCCCCATACAAACGACAACTCTCAGAAGTTGAGAAATTTGTGCGAGCTAAGGACTAACGAGGTCTTACCTTTTAACGTGTGATTCCTAACACGGCAGTATTGTTGAAAATATTCATGACACGAAAAATGTTTGTTAGGAAATAGAGAGACTGAAGAATATTTGTTCATAGGTAGCATTGAGAAGCAATCAAATGAGATATGTGATGAGACATGGGTTTCGAAAGTAGAAGTTGATGGAAGTTCTGTTTAGTTTATATTAGATACTGGATCAATGGCCAATATAGATATGGACACATTGAAGGTGGTAGGTTTTGATTTTAATAAATTAAACGAAACTAACGTCTCGAAATCCTACACTAAGAATATCTTACCAGTTGTAGGAGAATGCAAACTTTAGTGTGTGGTAAAAAATAAAAAGCAACTCTTTCATTTCATGTGGTCGAACATTGTAAAACAATTTTAGGATTGAAGGCTTTTGTAACATTGAGTATGATTAAAAGAATTAACTCTATTGATAATATCTAATACTCAGGACCTAGATCTGTTGTTAGAAGAATATCAGTTTTTGTTCAAAGGGGTAGGAGCATTAAAAAAACTTATTATATTGAGTTTAAACAGGATGTTTGTCCTGTAGTATGCCCCCTAGGAAAACTCCTATAGTTATAGTAAGGAAACAAAATGGCTCTTTGAGAATTTGTTTAGATCCACAAAGTTTAAAATCTGTAATAAAAAAAAATCATTTTCAAATTTCAAGTGTCTTGAAATATTTTATGACAATGAAGAATGCAGTTTCTAATTTGACGATATTTTAATTTTTGCTTCCCAAAATAAAATTTTGAAAAAAGTTTTCGAAAAAGCCTCTGAACATAATAAGGAAAAGTGGAGGTTTTGTGCCAGAAAAGTGAAATACTTAGGACATGAAATTTCTGAAAATGGGTTTGATCCTGATGAAAGTAAAGTTAGTGCTATAAAAAATATGCCTAGGGCCTAGGCGTGTAGAAAGTGTACAATGATTCTAAGGGTTAGTAACATATATAGGAAAGTTTGTAAAAAAAACTTATCAGAAAAATGTACCTTTGAGATCTTTGTTGAAAATAGATGTAGTATTTTGTTGGGAAAGGGAACATGAAAATGCCTTTGTAAGTTTAAAAGAAGTCATTTCAGTAATGACAATTTTCAAATTTTTTTATCCAAAAAGGAACGATTACTGCGCTTCTAAAAATGGAAGGGGTGCATCTTCATTTCAAGATGGACTCCCGTGTGTTCATGCCTCTAGAGATAAAGCGTTGACTGAAATGCAAAAGCGTTATTCACTAATAATAAAATAAATGTTAGCCATTTGGTTTGTTTGTGAACGTTTTTATCAGTATATTTTTGGACAAAATAAATTTCTAGTTGAAACTGACCGTAGACCTTTTCTGTCAATATTCAAACAAAGAAATCAATTGACTTTTGTCCAGTTAGGTTACAGAGAATGTTGTTGCAACTCGGAAAGTATAATATGGAATTGGTTTTCAAACCTGGTGATAAATTAATAATAGCAGACACCCCTAGCCGGGCTTATGAAAATGAGCATTTTAATGAACATCTAGAATTAGAAGTTAAGGCGCAAGTGTGTTTGTCAGCTATGAATTCGAATGCTACTGAAGCAAAAAGGGGAGAAATAATCGATGCAACAAGTAATGATCCTGAACCACAGTCGTTTAAAGACTATGTCTTAAATACGTGGCCTGACAAAATCAAAGTACCTATATTTCAAGTTTCAATCAAAAATTTCGAAAGCAGACAGTTCATTGTATACAGGCCAAATAGCCATTGTTCCAAAGTCATTATGAAAAGAAATTGTAAATAAGTTGCACTTTCCTAGTCAAAAAAGAATAAAGTTGTCTGCCAAATTTCAAAGTCAATGATAGTTCAGTTCAGAAGATCCCCAATAGTGATAAAAGGTTATGTACTATAAAAAGTAGGTATTAGATCTTACAGGCTAAAAACTGAGGATGATCATTATTATTAAGAAACAGATTTTTTTAAAAGTACAGTTAAACCACCTTTGGTTACAAATGATTATCACTTTGCCAAAGATGAAAACCTTGACAATATATACAATATAATGTATTCTAAAATGTGGGAAATGACAGTAACAGTGAAGTGAGTGAGCTTGAGTTGTTACATTCAATACACAATGTATTAGTAGAAGATTTAAATACTACCTTTGAAAACATTATTCTGAAATTCATTTGACAAGTAATACAAATTGCAAAAATACAAAATCTCATAATGTAGTGGGTGATATCATTCTAATACTGAAACAACTACAAATGTACTTATACAGGGTGCGGCAAAAGTCAGTTAACCAAATTACATATTAATTTGGTTCACATATTAAATTTTATAAAGTGTGTGAACCACCTTCATCAGTACATTTTTGGCAACGTTTATATACGGTAAAACACATCTTCCTACAGATGTGTTTTACCGTATATAACCTACAGTTAATGCTATCAAAATAAATTGTTTTAGTATTCTCGTGTCATTCTCCAAGTCACATCACAATGGCAGTGCAACTCCGTATAAAGTACACAAAAGACGAGGGCGTGTGCCTCTTGTCAGAGTACCTACGTTACAATGCAGACTACAATACGACTTTTGAAGAGATTACGGTAGTACAACATCGTGGCAGAAAATAATCCGGAGTTAAAGGATATTCAATGTTTTCAACAGGACGGCGCTCCGCCTCTTTACGGACTACAAGTTCGTGTTTTTTTGAATGGCGAGTTTGACGATTGGATACGGAGAAGAGACAGAATTTAGTGGCCCACGCGGTCGTCAGATTTAACGCCCGGTGACTTCGCCCTCTATGGGGAGTACTTACAAATAAAGTTTTTGCCATCCCAATATGCAATATATGACATTTAAAAGATAGGATTGAAGAAGACTTTAAAACATTTTATGCCAAAACAAAAAGATGGTTCACACCAGATGGTTCAACATAAAATGTAGTTGTTTGTATGTTTTTGTATAACCTTCTAACTTTTTTCGATAAAAAAACAAGTTTTTGTATTCCGTCATTGTTTGTTATTATTCATAAAATCCGGTAAATGGACTTTTGCCGCACCCTGTATATATTTCTACCAGCTAAATAATTTTGATTTGGCACGAAATGTTTTAAATTTTTCTTCAATCCTATCTTTCAAATGTCAAAATCTATAATATTATATTCAATAAAATCAGTAATCGTCGTGCAGCTCTAAACACAAGTATTTTTCATTCAGATCAAAATTACAACTAATAGAGTATGCTTCAGGTATCTCAAAAAAATAAATAAATCAAGAATTATCAAATCTTGTGACCGCCATAATGGGGAGGATTATAGCAACATTTACCTCGGCGAATTGTTTGGATGCATTAAATAGCCCACACAGTCATCTGATTGGTCACAACTAGAAAATAAATTCTGTAGACGCGGGTGATCATAAGAATGAACACTTGATCAAAAACTGCGTTTTTTGCTACGATTCCAATTTACAAATGACTATTCCTATCGTTTTTATGCTCTTTGATTCCTATTCCATTTGCTACATTTCATTCCATCCCAATTGACAGAATTATCGAATTAAAGATTCGTTGTCGAGCTTCTTGTCAAAAATGTTAATAATATCAATGTTATTCTTGGCATTTCTTTGGTGTAAGTAATTCTGGGCATTCTATCGATTCAGGTTGGAGACCAAAAAACATCGCTAATAGTACTATGTGAAAGGCTAAACAAATTTAAATGTTTTGAAATATAATTTTTTGCAAAAGAACTAGGCAATGTGGAAAATTCAACTATAGAAAAAAAAACATATGTCAACTAATATATTAAGAAACTACTCCGCCGTCCTCTAAGCCATTTACTCAAAAGATGAAATACAATACTCTATGTGAAGCGCGATATACTTCAAAATTACAAACTTATACAAGGGTGGTTTCTGAAATATTTCAAAAAACTCCAATAAAATAGAGGAAGTATAGGGAATGCCTTTAGCATAATATCTTAAATCCAACATAAGGAATACAAAAAAACTAATTAATACAGTTTATTGTATGATTTTCACTATAAAGGGTTTTACAAAAACCGCGACATTCTGAGTGGAAAA